ATGAAAAAAAGGAAAAGGCAGGATGTAGCTAAAAACACTCTCCTTTTGCACAAAGATGGAAAAGTGATGTTATTGGACACAGTAAATATCCTCAGCAAAATATGTAATTTCTGGTACCTTAGAAGAAAAACTGTTGCTAGATTTCTGAAGGTGATATTGCACATCTGGGTATCTGTCAAATATATTCATCTACCACCTACTTGAGGAAGCAGACATAGACACATGGACACTGCATGTACATATAGCACATGACAATATTTTAAGCAGTGGGTATCAGAGGTCTCCATAAAATATGTTGGGCTTCAAATTCTAATTTGCAAGCACATAGCTTACGGTAACACACTGAACCAAAAATTGCTGTGCCAATCACAATATCTCCAATACCTCTGTGCTTTACAAGAATCAATGAACACTGATGATCAGAGACAGCTGATCAGAACGAAAGAGGTTTTCGAAGTTAAGTATCAAGAAGTAATGGCTAAGCAGACTGTAAGGCTGACTGTGGTTTGTCAGTTTAAAAGAAAATGGGATCACCTGCTTACCTGATCAGGGAGACATCTGACAAGAGCAGTTACTCAGTCCTTAAGAGAGAATTGCTCAGTAGACATTTAAAAGGAAACCTTAAATTTAGTCAGGAGGCATAATGGGGACAAATAGTATCTGAAATCTTACTCCTAAGAGGGGTGTGATTAAGTCACAAGTATACCTGATGTAAAGGATCAGCACTTCTAATTTTTTTTTTTTTAACTCTTATGATTTATAAAAGTGCAGCTTCCATGTCAAAACAGTGAAAGACAGTTAAGTTAGTTTCTGGAACATTCTGAGCATCTATCTTCTCTTTTTTATAGACAAACAGGCTAACCAGGTCCAATCTGCAATCAGCACATTTTCCAGAGTCCCTCTTCTTAAAATGAGAAAAAAAGTCACTGTAGCCGCTAAATTGCTAACTTGCTGGTCAATCTGCTATTCCTGATAAGGATTTTTATATTCATTATTTCCAACAGTCATAAAAAGATAAAAATGGGAAGTTGAATTTGCAGATAAAATGAAATGCAACTTAATCATATCTGAACATAAAAGTGCACTGTAGTTCTAATACAATATGAGCCTTTTCACAATTTTTTCAAAGCCATCAAGACAGAAGAGGAAAACCAGGCATCATGGCACCTTCTTTAGCATTGTTTTTTACCTTTAAATTCTGCTAATTTGAGTATTAATTCATCAACACCCCAAAGTATGCACAACACTGAAAAAAATCTGGGATATTATACTCTAAAGACTTAATATTCCTTTTGCTATCACATTAAATTACCGCAGCTTAGTATTTTACAAATGCATTCAAAATAAAAATCCTCAAAATAAAAGTTTGTTCTTGCTTTTTTATTTAATGAAAATATATTTCAATCCAACAAAATAGCATCACAAGTTTTACTGCCCAACTGTCTCATTAGCAGAAAAAACTCACGAACGCCATCAATGTAAAAAAGTATCACTCTCTGGATGTGTAATGGATGTGATAGTAACGAGCTCTCTAGGATTGTCTTTTGAACATTAATTCCTTAAAACACGTAAACTAAATGAAAACAAAAAAACCCCACAGCAAATTATTAAAACTAAAACGTTTATATAAAGAAAATGATCTGCCTAAACACCACTCTCCACAACACATGAATGAACTCATGATTTTCTGAGAACAGTTTCACCACTACTATGTTTCTTTATAGTGTATATCTATCTGGTTAGAACACTTCTCCAAAAAAATCAACAAATTTGAATCACTTCTAGAGACAGTCTTTCTATTTTATTTTTGATACATGTGTACACAGTACAGAAGACACTGCATAAACTGAAAAGTCATATGTAGAATAAAATTTTAAGTGTACTATATAAAAATAAGATAATGTTTTGCTCACAGAGCACCACATATACTCAAAACAGCTTTCTTACACATGATATCATGAATTATTGATTTACTGTAAAATCAAAGTATTCAGTGAGTGTGGAAATCAAGTATGTCACTCACATGTAAGATGTCACTCTTATGTAATTTCTAGATTTCTGGATGTTAAGGTAAACACACCTGTTTCCCCCCAGATTTTATATGGGGAAAAATGCTGATATTCATTAGCTATGACATTATAAATAAATAAATAAACGAACAAATAAATAGCATCCTTAAAGATGAGAATACTTGTCTGCTACAAGAACCAGGCAGGAAAATCTCACAAAAAGTCTTCTACAAATGTGGTATAGCTGATATTGGATTACTTCTTGTCTCTCCATGAATTTTACAGGTTTTGAATTCATATAAAACTGCTCATATTTTTCTAAATTTGTCCACAGTCTGTGTTTTATGCAGTTACTCTTACATCTAGACATTAACACCACTTTTCTTTATTTATGGGCCAACATTGTTATTTCATTGACCATCAAACAGCATATTTGTTAATTTAGAGAGAATGTTTTATCATACCAAACTGCTGTATTTCATCTGACAGTAAGCCAATAAAAACAACTGAATTTCCCAAGTTAGTCATAATACTCTGAGGGATTTCTTTTGTTTGAACAGTTAATCCCTAGGACAACACAAATTAAAAAACAAAGTGGAGATTGTTTTACTGATCATTTTGACACCCCCCATTATCACATTTTACTCTGTTTAGCCATCATATTGTTTCCTGGACAGCAAATGGAGTTTTCAGTTTTCAATAAGAGATTTAGCTTTAAACAGGAAGCATTCAGACATAGTTCTTATATAGGTCAGTAGTAGTTTATAATAAATACATGTGCAAGATGAGCTCATGTTAAGCTTTTAATTCCCTTACAATTCTGAAATGAAGAGATTATAAAGATGGGGCACACTTACACAACGTTTTAACACTGTTACTTCCCACATAAAATTCCTTCAATATTGTCCTCAAAATGCCCTTCCTAACGACTGCCCTTCACAACTGATTAAAGAATATAAGGAAATGAGGAGACGGAGCAGCAGTCCAAAGAATCACTGTGAGATGTCCCTGCACTGGGCCACAGACCAAAATTCACATTGCAAGTATAGGGACGTTTGCCATGGAACCACAGCTTGTTTTCCCCACTGCTGCTCCCCTTCTTCCGCTAATCTCTGGGATTTTACTCAGCAGGACAGGTTACAAGGACTTTGTGACACTTCTGTGCTCCCAAAAGATCATTTTTTCCAAGGCATTCAGGAATTTTTTTGACTGCATATACGGTAGCCAAAGGGCTTCCAATCCTGACTGCTCTGGCTCTGCTAATGACTTTGCTTGTAATTATCCATAATTACAGCACTGGAACCATACAATCCCTGCAGTTTCTTTCAGTGCAAAAAAAGCCAACACATACTTTCTACAAAAGCCTCCAAAGCAAAACTAAAATTATCTTCCAATCTGAGAGAATCCAGCAATGATCCCCATCAAACTTCACCCACAGACCCCAATCTGACCCCAAGATGATTCCCATACCATTTTTCAGGTTCCAGTCAAATTAAAAATATGCTGTGACCCTTTCCAAAGAAAAGGGTCTGAAAAAAACAAGAGAAAGACATGACTTTTTGGTTCAGGTGCAGAAGCAAATACACCTGAGGAATGAACCTATGATTTCCTAATAGAACATGGTTCAAAAAAGAAAAGAAAAAAAAAGACATCTCATTAATCTGAACAATCTCTTCTCCACCCAAACCCCAAAGTGAAAAGAAACATACTGAGTTTGGTATTTGAGTTGGAGGGTTTTTTTACTGACAAATTTGTTGTAATTTCATCTTAAGAAAAATAATATAAATGACAGAACTAGTTATTAGACACATAACTCAGCAAATAAACATTTTTTCTGCAGCTGCTAATGACATCCATTTCATGTAGCTGGTGTAAAGGACTACAATTTCCTTCTAATTTAGGTAACAAAGCCATTTCCATTTTACCCTGCAATACAAGGATTAAATGTATCTGAAATAGCTATACTTTTTTCAAGTGGTGTAATCAGTGTTTCAGAAAGTAGAAGAAATTTTCTTCTTACAGTGAATATACAGTCTACATGCTGGAGGAGAAGAAAATTGAGTTAAAATATTTTTCATTGCTATATTAATCAAATTATCATATTTTAAAAATTAAAGATTGGTTGTAAAGGAAGAGTAAGTCTGTCATAAGAAGACTGGGAATCAAGGAGATGGAGAAAAAAATGTTGTTTAATATTTAGAATATGACCACCCTATACAGGAGTATACTCAGAAATACCAACAATTTCCAAACCCTTCTAACTGAGGTAACAAAAGCAGACTGATTTTGCTGGCTGCTAGCAAAAGTAAGCAGGATTTGTCAGCTTAGGAAGAGCATTAATGCAGCTCTAAGGCTTGCAAAATTCTGCCTTGGTCAGTATCACGAATGACACAGATGCAGCTGACGGTGCATCTTCCTACTGATTAAATGCCCTCTAAATTCCACTTGAGTATAGTGTTTGCTCTTGGATAGGTAGCTCATGAAGGCCTGCATTTAGCCAACAAACACCAGCAGGAACACATCTGGCTGAATTTTTAAAGTATTAATTTAGACTTTGGGAGAGATTGGAGAACTTGTGTTTTTATGTTAAAAGGAACTTGTCCTGTTGAGACCTTAAATATTGTAATTATAGGAAACATCCCAATTTTTAAAATTATCTGAAAACACTGAAATCACTAGCGTTTCCCATGTTTTCAGGAGCTGAACAATACTTGCTTTGTCAAACTTGGTCAGCAGTCTGTGGACTTCCTGCTGGGAAGTACAGCTGTGTTAAAATGGTAGTGCTTATCACAGCACACTGGAAGCTGTTTCTAAAAAACAGTTTTGAAATGAAGAAATAATAATAAAGAAATGTAGCTTTGATAGCTTTTTCTTTATAAAGCCTTGACTTCCACAGCAATCTAAAAGTGCACAGAAGTCTATGAGTGATTCCCAGTCCATGACACAGAGGGCAGTGACAGAAACCCCACACAGACACAGAGCTTGCAATACCTTCATAGTGGACGCCTCGGTTTCCAGTTTTGTGAGGTGATTTGAGTTATCCTCTAACTCTTGCCGAAGGTTGGAGTTCTCCATCTTTAATGCCTCAACTTGCTTTAACAATTGATCATATGAAGCTGCGGCCATCCTGGGCTACGCTCAGCCCTTAAAAAAGTAAGAGAAAACATTAAATTTAAGCAGTTTAGAAAAAAACCCTTTACTACCCTTTACTACTATCTAACCACAAAAATCATTTCTCTCTCTCATTTACCACATTACTTTCCAAACATTTAATTTAAATCCATTGCACCAAACTGTTAATGATTAGAACTAACGCCAGATCAAGACACTTTTTTTCTATGGACTTCCATTTGGTATACATGATTAAGGAAAGGAAAAGAAGTTCATTGTCAATTGCAACACATATTAGAGGAAGCTAGAATACATGAAACAAAATCACTGCATCACACAAAAGCACCTTTACTATTGGCACTTCAGTTTCAACATGGAGAAATTGGAGTTAACAGAACATATATAGTCATTTTTTGATAGAGAACAAATATCTTCACATATACGTAAAGGATGTTGACTGCCTACTTATTTTAGGAAATGAATGGTAGTCACAGATGCTCCACGTTCCTAGGAATAGTACACACTCTAAGAGTGATGCTATATGAAAAGAAAGAAGCAAATATTGGGAATTTTGACTTAAAAAACTCCACATCATCAAATGTAGTAAATACGTAGATATTTTGCAAATATATCCTTCAAGGCACAAACTTAAAACCAATTTCTTTCACACAAAGTGGTCATAAGTCTTAGGTTGCAATACAGGATGTGACTAGGAGTATGTATTCTATCACCATCTGCTGAAACCAGGTGGGGCAGTGATCCTTATCCCTGTGGGAGATATCCTCTGCTAATGGGCATCTGTTAAGATGAGGTGGGACAGTCATCTTTATCTTTTCTACAACCCATCCTCCAGGAAGATATTGGCTGTTAATGGGCCATTGAGTCCCACTGCATGACTGATAAAATCACATCATCCCATTGGGAGAAGCTCCACCCAGGGGGAGGAGCCACAAATGTCCCACCTAGATAAAAAAGATAAAAACTGAGATTTGGAACATCAGAGCAGCCTTTTTCCACTGGATCCCAGAGGAAAACTGGACTTTTCCACATCACCACTGGACCTTCAGAGGAAAACTGCACCCTTCTACAGGATCACTGCTTCAACTGAACCACATCTGTCACTCGAGAACTGCAGCCACCATTTAATGGGACTGCTACCAACACCCTGACTGACGGGGTGTCAGGTTGTATTCTGACTCTGTCAGTGGTTTTTTGGGTTTGTTCTCTGTAATACCATATTTCTATTTTAATTTTCCTAGTAAAAAGCTGTTATTCCTATGCCCATATCTTTGCCTGAGAGCCCCTTAATTTCAAAATTACAGTAATTTGGAGGGAGGGGTTTTACATTCTCATTTTAAAAAGAGGCTCCTGCCTTTATTGGCAGACACCTGTCTTTCAAACCAAGACAGCATACTACACAGTTTGACTTAAAGATGAAAGGCTACTCTTGATATTAAGGCGTCCCATACTGTTTTGAGTAAAACTGTAACACAGTCCCAGAATACCAGCATAACTACTCAGCTGTTTTAAGGGAGAAAGAAACAAATACCTCAATTTCAATTATAAATTACAAATTGTTCCCCACTTTTCAAACCAAAAGCTGGCAGAGTTGTTAATCTAACGAGTTAACTAAGACATGGCTAATGAATGTTTGATGCTCTTTAGAATTAATGCTATCAGTTTCTTCAACCATTCCAGAGGAAAAAAGGAAGCCTAGCACTTCACATAACACAAGTTACCCTTCCAATGACATTGCAGACATTTCCTAAGTATGTGACCTGTAAGTAACACAGAGGAAAGAAAATTTTAAAAAACTTACAGGGCAATATTCCCTTTCATCATTATTGCAGTTACTTCGGAAAAGATGAAACAATTAAAAGCTGTTATTTAGCATTTTCATTGTAACCTCTGACCCAACTTTGACCTTACTGCTAGTATAAACCCTTATAAAATCAAGTTTCCTCTTCCCAATGAAAGTCAGTTGAATTATCCAGTCAACTAAAAATTAGGTAAAATTACTCAAAAACGTTTTAGTTCTTCAGTACAAATTTTGAAAATTGTGTTTAACCTTTCTAAATTTAAACTGAACAAAATGTAAAGAAAAGAGTATACCACTGAAGACAGGAACAATTACAAAAGCTGTTTTGCATTTCATATGACTGGTTTATTTCCTTTCCAAGCATCTGCCACCAACAAACACAAGAGAAGGAAGACACCTGCCACTTAGGAAATCGTGACTTCCATGAATGAAAAGAATCTGTAACATTCATTTTTCAAAATTTGCTCATGCTTTACTGAAGACCTAATTTTCTGAGAAACAAGGGCAATCTGAAATAACTACTCTACAATGTGAATTCTGGGATTTTACTATCAGGCTGTTTCACCTAAAGTCTTGTCAAAGAGAGTTATAACAAAAACAAAACACACAGATACTAAAAAATCAGTAAGGGCAGACTGCCTCTGTTTCATTTCACATGTGCTTTTATCTATTAACAATTTCCATTATTATTATTAAGAAAATTAATAGCTATGGTTCACATTTCAGAACACACTGCATGCACAAGCCCAAGGCAAGACAGACAGAAGTGAAGAAGAATGAAAACTTTTTCCCATTATTTGTCATGAGTTAGCACTATATAGTACTATTAATAGAATGTTTTTACTGAAGTCTATCAGTAAAATATATCACATTTATTCATCTATAAATGATTTACAGGAGCTTCTCTGTGCCATGTAGGACATGCATTTTGTTTCTAAACAATATTTTTTTCTCATTGCTATAATTCATTACGAATATCAAAGGACAAGTAGTAACAAAAAAGTATCCAGTTTTTCCACTTCCTGTCCATTTTCAGGAATTCCAACTCACAGATTTGAAATTTAGAACAATCAGCCTCATTAACAAGATGTACACACACAACAAAGGAAATGGAGAAAAATGGATGAGAGGAGGAGCCATGGTAGAAATACATGTATTGCATAGCTCTGGTATTTTATATGCGTAACAAACATACAAACATAGATATATTTTTGCTAAATTAGTAAGGATCCTGAAGGGGAGATTTGGTTTGGCTTTACACTCTTCTGATGTAAGTTCCTAAACTTCCTTTATTCTCATAACATGAAAGTAGGACATCACCACTAAGAGATAGTATCCTACCTCAGACTAGGAGTCACTTCCTGATTTTCCAGTGTCAAGCTTTGTGGGTTTTCAGATAAAAAAATGAAATAAGTTAGCTGATTACCACAACGGGGGGAACCCAAAACTATTTTTTTCCTGCTAAAGACATGCCCAAAGGAAGCAACACTGTCACTACAGTTGCAACACAGATGAACAGAAAAGCTCTACACAGGTAAGAAACAGTACAAAGACATCAAGACAACACAGGGCAGTGCTGAAAGCCAAATTACTGGGCTGAAGACAGGCTGTCAGCAAAGTTCCCCCAAAACTAGACTGTGACAGACATTTTAAAATATTTTGTTATTGACTTTGGCACAAGAAGTAGCATCAAAACTTGCTCCCCTGAATTCAAGAGGTTGCACAAGGTCAGAGGACTCCACATCAGGCACAATGAATTTGATGAACTGAGAAATAAAGCAGTAGAAACAGAGTGGAATTGCAAAGCATAGCGACACAGGGTCACTCACAAAGGAGGCTCAACCTGGAGCAGTGAAGCGTCTCAGCAGCCACCCTGCAGGGCACTGTGTGCTGCCAATCAGACTGGCACAAGGAGAACAAACATGATCCCCAGAGTTATCAAATCATTCTACAAAGAGGTGGCTAAGAAAAGTGAATTGAAGTGGGTGCAGGGAAAGATGTGAAGTGATCAGGGGATGGGAGAGTATCTCAGAAGAGATTAGCCAAGCAAGCCTTGGCTGCCTCAGCACATCAAAGGCTGGAATGACACAGCCATACTTTGTTATTGTGGAAGGGAAAACACTGAAGAGGAAGAACAGTATTTATGTTAAAACACAATACCAACACAGAAAAAATGGGTATAAATCGGACAATTATCAACCCAGGCTGGCAACATCAATTAGGACTTGTAGCTCAGAGGAATCCTTGCCAAGCATACTATACAAGAAGGAGCCAGACTTCACGGCTCAAGAAATCCAATCTTGTATTCCTAAACGTCAATACAGACAAATGCTGTACTGTCTTTTGGTATGTCCAAGATACTTTCTTCTTCTTCTAAAATAATGCAATGTCAAAGTATTTCCAAAAAGACACCATTATTTAATTTTAAAACACGGAAAACTGACAAAGGTAATGTATGACCACAAAGCATCTTAGGCTTTCTGATGCTGTCTCATCTCTCAGGCATGTGATCTGTAGAGTGAAATCACAGGGCTCCATTACACATAAGCTGTTTCATGTATGAGATAAGCACTTCAAAATTAAAATCTGCCTCTCTTCTGAAAATATGTTTTTACCAACTTCCTCAAACTTGACACATCAGATCAGAATTCAGGTCCCAAAACAATCCCTGGATTTATGCTCTGAGTAAAAAATAATTACTTATAAATAAAAAATAATTTATAAATTACGTATTATAGGTTTTCTAAACACAGAACCGTCTGCATAAAGAGAAACTGACTGCACTACCTCATCCCCCTTATTGAAGTTTCTCAGTGGTTAACTTACTTGAGGAAAGAGTTAAGCTCTGGACCCTCTTGGCCAGACAGATTTCCTAGCCACCCCCCACCTCATCAGGAGCAGAATTAACCAGCCCAAGGTAAAAAAGAAATATCTTAGACACAGCCCACTAGTCTGAAGCTCTACCACTGGACACGCAAATATATTCAACACCACTAGTGTCAGAATCAGCTGGATCAAGAATAAACAGCTCTTCTTCCCCCCTGTAGGAAACCACTAGAGAGAAGGGAAGAACTCTGACCTCCAGAATCCATTTCACATTTCACCCAGCCCAAGGGAAAACACGAATGCAACATAACCCACCTTTGTGAAATTCACTATTATGCTCCAAATCAAGCTCCCTTTTACACTCTTAACTGCATTGTTTCTTCACCAA